TGGCGACGCAGCACTCCTCTCTAGGCAGTATGTTCTGTGCCGACGTGGGTGTTGAAGTCGCCAAAGACAATCAGCTTGTCCGCCTTCGAAACAGTCGCCAAGAGGGCGTGCAGGTCCTCGCAGAATTTGTCTATTGCGGTGGCGTCGGGGCAGCTCATCGGCGGAGCGTAGGCGCTGATGATGGTGGCGAATTTGCCCCCACGCCTGCCTGAGAGGCAGACGGAGGCTCATCAGGCGATCGTAGATTCCCTGCGGCAGACTGGGCAGTCGTCCCACGATGTCGTTCCGGATGGCGAAGGCGACACCCGCGTCTCGTCGCTCTGCCTTGGGTCGACCACTCCAGAAGAAGGTGTAGCCGGCCCTCACAACCTCCATTTGGCCTTGTTCGGAGAATCGGGTCTCGCTGAGTGCGGCGATGTCCACCTTGTAGCGCGCCAGTTCTCGTGCCACTAGCGCCGTCCTCCGTTCCGGTCGGTTGCTCCTCGGATTGTCTTAAAGGGAACGAACATTCCAGGCTGCCAGAGTGAGCGGACTTACCCTGCCAGTCTGTCGGCGATTTCGTCGGATGCAGGAGCCTTTATGCTTCACAAGTTTAAACCAGAGGCCTGTACTTCATAGAAGTTTGTACAGTATTCTAACAGTGCGTTTTGCCCGATGTTTGCCTAACTCTGATCGACAGCACGCTCTACAGTAGACTTACTGTAACAAACAGCGATTCCACACAACCATCTGGATCACCTGTGGCTACATTTAGCTAAGGCGAAGGGTTAGCTTATTTCAGGGCGACAGTCGCTGTGAGACTGAAGAGTTGATCGAGTAGAGAGTGCGTCTTCCTCTTTTTTTTACGGGAATCGATGTCCCACCCTGATAGCACGCAACACGAGCGCGCCTGCTATCTGCACATACGAAACCCCACCCAGCCAGCTCCCTCCCTCCCTCCCTCCGCATCGGATCAGCAGATTTAAGTACAAATCGTTGCACCCAGAGTGGCGTGATCTGCTCGCGTCTGCCACTTGGTTTGCGAATAATGAGGACAGGAGCCCTAATGCAATGAGTGCAACATTCGTAAGAGGAAATTCATATCTACAGGTTTGCAACCAGCTCGCGGACAATTTATCTGACATATCAGTGATCTGCCACAACTGAAGGTGCAACCACTGCATATTCTCAAATTGTCTATCCGTCAGAACCGAGAGCCCCTTCAGTCTACAGAATATATTTACCAAAGTCTCACGCATCCACGTTGATTGAATTGTCAAACCTCGGTGCCACGGTGTGACTAAAACCCACGACAGCAAGCGTTTTACTATGTCAAGTAATGCATATCTCCTTATTTTGACTGGCAAGGCTAGCCTATTGCAACTTGACCGACTGTTGTCGATATTGCCGTATTAAACGCAAGTACACAAACGAGTCATTTTGATACGCATATGAAATACTCGGCGCCTCTGTGGTGTATGAACCCGCTTCAGCTTTATGTAGCCTTAGTACAGCCAACGCTCTAGCCAACTGACCTAAAAGGCTCCACCGGACGACGCTACATTAATCGTATCTGCCATAATAGCTGTGAATTTCGTGAAACCCTTAGCTATCTGGTGGATTCTATATGTATAAATTTGAAAATCCTGCTTAGAATGTCAGCTTACCTTATCAGATTTGGTGGATACCAGACTTTGCAGTAGATCACACGAGTAAAATTGATTAAGATATGATTAAACACGCGTCGTCCGGTGGGGCCTCGTATCTTAGGTGGCTGGAGCGTTGGCCGTACTAAAGCCTCTCTTTGCTGTTGGGGGTTCGAATACCACCAGTTAGGCTTAGTAGCAACTTCGGAGAATGAAACCAATTATTTTTCAGAAGTAAAGCATTCTTAGCAGTGTCATTTTGATGTGAGGAGATTCACTCGATCGCTGGAGCGAGAATAATATTCACTTGAGTTTCCCGATACCTTTTTGATCAAGCACAGCAACATATTGAATTTGTGGACGTACAGCGGTTGAAATATTTATAAGCTGCAATTCCTATACTATCATGCGCATGTTTATAATGATAACGCCCGCATTCCATGCAGCTTTTCGTGATTCGTTTGATGATTTCACTAGAAGATATGTTTAAATTGTGACTGTTACGATCTAGCTGTTTTTTAAATGCTAACCTCGTCCTTTGTTCTAAAAATAGACTTTGGCGATTCTATGACTTTGGAAACGGGAATTTTTGTTAGAAATGCGGTTTTCCTGGCAGGCTGAAGTCGACATAATGTTGAAATTTGCTGATTGTCCCTTTGCAATTAATGCCAGACAGGCGCTCAGACTGTGTCTATATGAAAACAGTGTAGGATGTTAATAAAAACAGTTTGTTTACTTAATGTACATTCCGCTACGACGAATTTTAACGTAGGTAAATCCACTCCTTACGGAGCGCGTCGAATTAATTCTAAAATCCCACTTGGTTTACTGTCCTGGCTTATGCATATCTAATTTATGCGAATACATCAACACGGACAGTTGAAAAAATGAAACCATTACGTAGCTTAGAGATTCGCATTGCATGTGATCTTTCAGTGAATCGAATCCGCACTAATTTAACTTGGGACTGGCTGTTTCGATGTTAATCCCAATCCCACGGCATTTGTTTCACTTTCAATGTAAAAAGTCTGCTGACTGCAAAATACAGATATTCACAATGACTGATTAATTATGCCTTCTTTGCTGTAGGGAATCAAGTAAGTATGAAGAACACTGCGGTTTCTCTTAGGAGCAACTTCGGAGACCGAACCCATTTCACTTTCAGAACGTGAGCTTCCTTAACAGTGTTATTTTGCTGTGAGGAAAATCACTCGATCACTAAAACGAAAGCAATGTTCACTTGAAGTTTCAAGTTCCTTTTCGAACATAGACAGCAGCAAATTGAAGTTGTGAAGAAAGAGAGGGTGAAATATGCATAGACTGAAATTCCCCTAATATCACACTCATATTCTTAATAATAACATCTGGAATTCTGCAAACATTCGCACTTCGTCTCATGACCTGTCTAGTAGATATGTCCAAACTGTGACTGACGGCGATCTAACCGTGCTTTCAGTAAAAATACAGCCTTTTGTTTTCATAACCGTCTCTGGCATTTTTGACCTCGCCAAGTGACATTTTTAAGGGAAATGTGGATATCTAGCGAGGAAAAAGTCTACGTATGTCTGGAAGACGGACCCAATTTTGACATTCCCTGAATGCACGTTTCCAATTAACGCCAGACAAACCCCGATCTAGCCCGCGCGTTTTTCCAGCGCATCTAGTGCGTGAGCGGTTTTAGGGACACTGCCATTGTCCAGTGACGTACACACGCAACGATTGTGCACACCACTGACGACCTGCCGCCAAGGTCATCTAGGGGCGCATCTACTCGCATTCAGCTTTCGGCCATCTGGCGAAATCTGCCAGCTGCGTCATCCATCGAGCACGATCGATTTTCCCTCGCCAGGCGTGCAGGCCACCTCACGGTCCAGGAGCCATCAACTCGAGGTGCAGCCCTGATAACTGACTGTCCAGCAGGTTCGCAACATGAAGCAGGGCCTTCCCACGTAGTCAGTGCCGATTCAGTTAATCGTATCTCTGGTTACATCCAAATCACTAACCTGGGTTATATTTGAACATGCGTTATGTTAAATACCCTTGACATCACTCATGTGAGCTCGTCGTGCTTGGTGAAATCTTTGCTAAGCATAAATCCCGAGACAGTCCAACCTTTTAATCTTTTTAGATGAAGAAATAGATCAATTTATGCTACGGAGACGGACAGCGTACATGCATCCGACATCTTCCGTCGACCGAATACTAAGGAGTGTAACGTTTCCCTTAATAGAGGAGGCCGATAGCAACTCACACACCAGTCTATCGCATTTCGCGGGGGTGGGCAAATTGGCTTTTGGAGTGGGACACTATTCAGACTTGGTGACATCTGTCCTAATTCATAGTGCCAGGTCCGCCGTCCACTCTCTAACTGCTCATGTCGCCTCAGTAAGTAGTACGTGTGCCATTCATATTAACACACAAGCTCCCCGATCTGCGATCTTACTAGTGTTACTCACTTCGTCAGCAAGTTGGCATCTCTTTGCTAAACTAACCTCGACCACATCTCTCATTCCTCGCAGAGATATGCTAGAGATTATTTTTCACCCCAAGTGTTGGACACTTTACACCCTTTTGGTGTTTTTTTTTAACAAAAAAATTGGAAGCCATGTTTATGAACCCCGCTGGGGACACCTGGCGGTGAGAACATCTCCACCACTAAATCTAATTCGTCTCCAGTCTCATATCCGCTGGCGACAATGATTTCTCCCCAAAGCCATGCATTAGTCCCAAAAACGAGCATCTCCCTCGTAAAAAATAACTGGTTCATACATTTCATTCCTTTTAGAGATAATCACGCCATTAATCGGTTGCCCTAGGTGTTGGGCACGCCACACCCATTCGACGTTTGCAAAAAAAACGACAAAACAGCTTACATTGCAAGTCGTTTATTTCTTAACATGCGGGTCATAGAAGGAACATCAAGAAACGCAGAAGTTTACATGCGAATGCTTGCAGCTCCTGCGATCTTTGCGAGCGTCTCCAGCGGTTTCTTCGACGACCAGCTCCAAGCTGTCAAGTCGTTGCTGACATCAGCTGGCCCGCCTGGTGCTGTGAAAGTCTCCACCGTGTTTCCTGATCCATTCCAACAGCCTGCAAATTGTGAATAATTCCAGTGAAATTCTGCTTTCATAAATATCAAAATAGACAAACTTAGCATACGATTTGCACAATACCGCTAGACAAAAAAATATTTTAATAAAACGCAGAGTAGACAAATTAAGCTTTGAACGCAGTATCTACTGAAGACGCTTTAAACAGTCGGCTGCATAAGTCTCGTAAAAATCTACTTTAATAAGCAAACGATTTGCACTACAAACGGACTACCATCGGCCCTAACCTCGTTGTGTTTACGAAACGCCATACAAAGTCATATTTTCACATGCTTGCCATCACTAGGGATGTCTTAATCTTCCTCAGAAAAAGAGAGTACGCAGAAAGGGACATGGGATGGCATGAAAAAGAGGAGATTGGAGAAGGAATGCAGTCAGTGAAGGAGGAGGCATCATTACCGAGAGCAAAGATGGCGTCGTCGGTGGAGGTGAGAAGAGCGAAAAACGCGCGGGGTTCCTTCATGCCAGTCAACTCTGTCCACTGGCCCTGGGGACACCTGGCATCTGGCGGTGTGAACATCTCCACCACGTTTAGACTCTTTCCACCAACACCATATCCCCCGGCGACAATGATTTTCCCCCGAAAGTGTGTCGCTGCCAGCGCGCTTCGTGCAGTTCTCATGGGTGCGGCTGGCTGCCAAAAGTCCGAGGAGGTCGCCCTCTCTCGCCAGTCCGCTCGCAGGTGGCAGAACTCCACAGAAGCCAGCGGGGAGGAGCCGCCAAAAACGAAGATTCGACTGTCGCCGGGCAGGCAGGCAGCCGCCGTGGCGTTCCTCTTCTCTTGCATATCGGGCAGTTTGAACCACCTGTGTGTGTTGGGGAGGAGGAGGAGAGGAGTGAGGAGGCAAAACAGGAAGATTTTGCAAGAAAAAAAGGAGGCGACAGGACGAGTGTGCTCTCACCTGTCCCGACCGACTTCATAGACTTCACAAGAGGAGAGGTATCCACCGTTACCGTATCCACCGAAAACGCCGATAAGCGTCTCCCCTCCGGCTTCCGTCACGACTGCGGCAGCGTGCCCGTCGCGTCCAACGGCGAGGGACGCCCGTTTGCGCCAGCGCCGTTCTGCCACCAGAAACTCCTCGACACTCGTGGAGAACCTCCCCTGCACAGTGTTTCCTCCAACCACGAAAATGCTCTCTTCAGTGGGGGTGGGGTGGGATGGAAAAAAGTTTCATAAAATTGTGCGGAAGAAAGTTAAAGTGGAAAGATAAAATAAAAAAGGCATTTTGTTGACAGAAAGAGGGCGAATATCATCGTCGGACAAAAATACGTGGGCGGACAAATCTCCCAGTTGAGTGGCCGCCAGTGACGGACACAAATCACGCAGGTGGAGACACGGTTGGGTAAAGTGAAGACGGAAAAAAACTAACGCGCGTCGGGACAGGCCAGGCGAATGGACAACTCGGACACCTCAAAACCCCTCAATTACTACTACTACTACTACTACTACTAGTACTACTACTAGTACTACTACTACTACTACTACTACTACTACTACTACTACTACTACTACTACTACTACTACTACTACTACTACTACTACTACTACTACTACTACTACTACTACTACTACTACTACTACTACTACTACTACTACTACTACTACTACTACTACTGCTACTACTACTGCAATCCTATGCATTGTGCGGCGATGGCAGCTTTACTGGCAGGACTGCGTGTGTGTTTGTTATAATTCTGCCAAAAAGAGACACCAACTGGTCAAATTAGACAAAGAGGAAAACAAGGCAGGTGCGCAGAAGAGGCGGTGCGTAACTGTCAGGCAACTCACCGCCCACGACACTGTAGGAGGCCCATTCACGCTTCTGCATGTCGGCAATCCTCTCTTCCTTTTCCATCTGCGGATCGAAACGCAGGACAGACCACCTGTCCTGATCTTTGTCCTTTCCAAATACGAAGATCATCTGAGGCGGCCTCCAACGTCGGTTGAAGGGACACGGAGGCTTGTCCTTGTCTGCGTTGCTAATCCACTGCTCCACCAGAGCCATAAGGCGACTTTCATTAGAAAATAAATGACGAACTGGAAGAGCATATACTTACAGGCAGCTGTTGCTATCCTGGAAAATCGGATGACTATCGACAAGGCGATTGCGAAATTGGAGAGTCGTCTGACACCAACGAACCTCCTTTAACATCTCGGGGGCGTGCAATCTCAGTCTCTCATTATCGCAATCTTTATCACCGGCACCCACCCAACTTGAAATCGCCTCAAAAACAGCCTCCTCGGAGTCCACTGACAGATTGTCGTTTCGCAACAACGCCAGCACGGTGTCAGCTGGCAGACGAATAAAGAGGTCAGACGAGACGAAACTCCTAAACTGCGCTTGCATCAGATTGATGCAAGTCTCCATCAGTGAGCCCATGCGCATAGATTTGGCAAAGCCCCATGTGCTTGCCAGATTTTCTAAATTCACTCTTTACAGCCGACGGTTAGACAGAAAGAACCGGCACTTGCTTACCTATTGGACATGAATTGCACTCCCCAATTCTCCAGATCAGACAGTCTCATCATTTTGGCAAACATCACTATGCCCATCGCATTAGCTTGGGTCACCTCCAACTGCCCGGTGTACACATACTGGAGGAGTGAATTTGCGAGGCTAGAAAGTGCAAAAGCAAAATCCGAGAAAGAAGGATGATTTTACCTCAGAGGCACCGTCGGCCATTTTAGCACTGAATTATCCTTCCCGAGGGCGCCACTGAGAGCAGCTCGCAATGACGGAATGCGAGCTGCTAGTATTATTCGATGGGCATTGAGGATAGTGCCGTGCTTCACCTAACAAACACGAACAAATTTTCGTGTAAAGGACGGTAACAGAAAAGACAGCTACCTCTATGACGAGCTCTTTCAATTCTCCCGAAGTGCGAATCTCGTTGAGGGTTGGACAGCTACGAATCAGGGGAAATGCGTCTTCGAATACTTCGACGTCTGCGAGCGCCATTTCGAGTGATAACCGAAACAGGAGCGAAAAATGATCGCGAGTGCCATTAGCACTGCCTCTTATAGTGCCAGCACACTTTGAACCCGCCCGCACGCACTCATGACCTTCAGGTCCTGATTGGCCGATTTCAAAGTGCGGATTCGATTGGGCGATAGTCGGCACAGTTATGTGGTGTAATGCGTAGGTGAGAACCCCCGAGTTATTTTTATTGGTCAGGGCTACGTGGGCTAGAAACCGCCGATGGCGCACTTTCAAAGCCAAATGGACTGACGTGTAACTTGCTAATGAGGACACCGTCTACGAAAATTCAATTATTGCCATTGGGTTTTGGTTCGTTTTGTGCTGATAAAGAATACTCGTGAAAACCACATGGTCGTCCGACTAAACAGACGTACAGTTTAGGTGCATCGCTTAGCAGAGAAGGGTGGGTGGCTGGGTGGGCTTTCGTATGTCCATGCGGAAAAACGAGCAAATAAAATAGTTCACGTGGAATAATTTTAAAGACAGTCCTTTAGTAACGTTCGCAAATAAATACCCAAAGAGAATACGTAACGTCTAAAACGTTACGCATTTTGATTGCTTATTCGGCCCCTTCAATGAAATGTCCTTTTCTTGTGCAGAAATTGTGTTTGCGCAATTATATCCAGCAAAATATTAAATATTTTTTGGCGGAAATGAACGTTACAATATATTCGTGTCATTTCATATGCTAATATCTGTCCTAGACTTCAGTTGTGCATTTAAGCGTGTTCCTCTTTAAAAGGAGACTAATTTACTCACGGGAGTTTTAATAAGCAGAGGTTTGCGGACTTGAGAATTTGTTTCATGTTCCATCCTAACCGTGGTAATCAATTTGCCCACACAAAGGTCACTTTAAAAGAACCAAATATTTTCACGATTTTTAAAAAAAGTCATATTAGCAGGTCAGTGCGACTTGGTGCCCTGAAGTGCAGTAATAACGCAGACAGGGATTCCTTCGTTTAAATGGGCTGAAATTGTTTTGCCGTTTAGAGGATTTAACGTTATGTCACCGAAATGACCACTACCAAATGACAATTTCCAGTCTTGAAGATAAGAAACATTCCTCGCCGTGTAGTCTAGCTTGCGCAAATTCCTCATGCAGAAATGGAACGAGCCAAACATGAGCAGTTTCATCAGAATATCAGTATTTATGTGGACGCTCTCTCGTGCATTCATAATCGAAGAACGGAGTCTAAACGCGAGCAAAAACAATGAAAATGGCCGCAATATATAGAGAAAGATATAATCTTGCGTTTACGGTAGAAATATGCCAGTATGGTTTAGGAAGGTGAAAGAAACGGTCAAAATTGTCATATTTTTTTCTTGGCCTCACCGTGCAAAATTGCAAAGTACACAGAGATCCGTCAACGGAGTGCAGTAAGAAAGCACTTCCTAAAGAGGTAACTTATTAGAGAGAGTTTTCAAATTGTGATTGAAAGCCTATTTGTTACTGACTTCCGTTGTGGACAGCTATTCTATTCGACAATGAAGTTTCATGCTTGCGTGAGTCTTCAAATTCGACTCAAACGACCATCTTCATGAAAAAGAACGTCCAAACACTGGCTACTTCGATAAATGCCTTATTTAAAAGTTTAACAGAAACATGTTACAGAATACCTCTTTATGGGCGATCGGATGACAACACTGAAAATCAGCAGCGTTATCCTGAGGAGACTAAAATTACACGTTAATTTAACGCAAGAAAAAGTTCTATTTATAAACACAAAATAATATAGGCTGTATGTTATTACAGACAAAGACAGGGAAGACTGGAATAGCAATTTTTGGCTTATTAGCCGTCGTCAGTCAGTCATACCCAATCCCGAAGCGTGGAACACGCGAGGCTCGAACTCGCGACCTGTTGGTTAGATGTACACGCCTCTAACCACTCGGCCACGAGCCCAAGAGTCGAAGATAATCGACTAATGTAGAATAACCACGTAATGCCAATTCAATAAACGAGTACTACCACAAGTAGTATGAAATGTATGCGTCAAAAATACCATACCGTACTCCGGACACATGTACTAACTAAATGCCCAGACATGTGTTTCGCCGATACTCTGCTTCTGCGTGACACAGCTACGAGGGGTTCGGCCCTTGGGTATGACTAGCTAACGACAGCTTATACGCCGGAAATGGCCATTCAAGTCTCCCTTGTCTTTGCCGGTAATAACATACTGCCTATATCATGCGCCGCTGTGCAGCTGCTGGTTGGGTTCCAGAGAGAGCCCGTAAGGCACGACGGAACGAGTGAGTTCCGTAAGAACGATCGGTGAGCGTCCCCTACCAAAAAATACAGTTAGTGACCTAACGCATGAAATGTGTCGAAATTTACGAATGATTGCTAATCACTCGCAAACCGACACCATTTCACGAGTCCGATTTCTGTGTTAATTAGCTACAAGTTTAAAAGCATTAAAAACACAAAAGAATTGTTAAAGACAGTGTGGCGTTATTTAGAAATTCCGATTTATTTTGAAAAGCGCAATATCCCGAAAACGTCAGAAATGGCTCTATTTTAGTAAACGTCGTTTTTAGATGTACATAATGTATAATCATACCACAAACGTAGTAAATATTAAAGTAGACATAAAATAACGTCTAATAACAGTGTTTTAGTGAAGTTTACATCTAAATATCGTTTAATGAGTAGTGTGATTTCATATATGACGGTGTGTCAACTGCCTACATTCTGAGTGCAGACTCCAAAACAGTTTTCCAGTGAGTCCTCCTTCATTTTGTTTGTTTAAAGTAAATTAGATGGGGTTCAACAAGAGAAGCTGGATTTTGCTTGATTTCACCGATGGTGACGTCGTAGGAACAAAAGTTTTTATAAGGTGACATGCCACGAGACCGGTCGGTGCCTAATAGAACTGACAGGCGTGATCGTGAACGTGCCATTTTGAGTTTATAAAGATAAATATTCTTCCGTTAAATTAATTTACACTTCTCTTTCGTTTTAGATAACGTTGAGTTTCAAATCGGCCTCGAAATGTTGCTGAATACTTAGTGATTTTCAGTGTTTTCACCCGATCGTCCATAAATACAGATTCTGAATTGCCTGTCTGTTGAGAACTTAAATATAAGATTATTCTTGAAGGCATTTACCGAATTAGTGAGTGTTCGGGCGCTCCTTTTCACGAAGATGGTCGTTTGGGTCACATTTGAAGACTCATTCAAACATATAACTTCATTTTCGAGAAAAATGCCTGTCCACAACGACAGTCAGCAACGAATATGCCTTTGATCAATGAAAAAACTTTCGGTAGTAAGTTACCTCTTTAAGAAGTGCTTTATTACTGCACTCCGTTGATGGAATTGATAAAACCTCTGGTTTTCTTAAGCTAAACTTTGAGTTAGCAGGTGGATCAGCATGGCTTTCATCGAATTTAAAATAAAATTTATAGTCCGGCTAAACCTGTTTATTAAAACTCTAATGGGCAAATTAATATCCGTTCAATGAAAAAGCCGCTCAGATGCGTAACCGGAGTCTAAGACACGTATTAGTATAGGAAATTACACGAATATCATCCAACGTCCCTTTTCGCTAAAATTTACAGATATTTTAGTTGATATAATTACGTAAACACAATTTATGCACAAGAAAAGGACATTTAATTGAAGGAAGTGGAAGAGCGAACAAAATGCTCAACGTTAAAGGCGTCCAGAAATTCTCTCATCAGTTTCCATTTTCAGATTTCATGAGATAGGTCACGTACTGTAATATGTTTAAAATTGAGAGAGAGTGCCCGTAAGGCACGACGGAACGAGTGAGTTCCGTAAGAACGATCGGTGAGCGCCCCCTACAACAAAATAATATGTTTAAGCTTACGCCTATCAGTTCTAGCGAAATTTATTGGTCACCGATTGGCTTGGCAGCATGTGACGTTATGCAAATTTTTGATCCTAAGACGCCCCCATCGGCGAAGCCAAGCAAAATCTAGTTTCTCTTGTTTACCGCATCTCAATCAGCCCAAGTAAGTCAGAAATACCGCGAAATCGCAAACTGTTTTCGAATCTATACTACGACTGAAGGCTGTTGACAAACCGTCATACATGAGATTACACTAACTCTTACACGATACTTAGATGTGGACTTCACAGAAAAAAACACTATGTTTGATCGTTATGTTATTTGTACATTGCCATAGAGGAGAGTGCATTTGTTTGCCCTACCTTTAATATTACAGAAAACTTGAAAATTAGCTAGTTTGGAGCTCGAAGGTCGGCTTGGTGACCGACCTTTCCTGAAGACTCCAACGTTAAGAACGCAACAAACGACAATCTCGGCGACTTCAATGGATGACTTCTTTGTCAAAATGACCGACAATTCAGTGCTGACTGGACGACAGTCATGACAAAATGATTGAGATTATACTGGTGGCAGACTTGCGCAGCATTTACCTCCACGCGTGGCACGACGTTACCCGTAAATTGGTTACAAACCTGCAGTTCTGCATTACGTCATGGCGAATGATGCTCTCATTAGATTAGGGTTAGACGCATCGATCACAAACGAAATGCCAGCCACGAGCAGTCCCACGCAAGTCCAGGTGCATCGCTTGGCAATAAAAACTACTTATCTGGTGCGGAGGGAGGGAGTTGGTGTCTGGGTGGGGTTTCGTGCGTGCGTGCAGACTGGAGTCGCACTCCAGTTGCGTGTGCAGCATAGAAGCATCCACCCAGTGACAAGAGGATGACACACTCTCAGCGCCGTCTTCACTGCAGGCTCGCAGCGGCTGGTGTTACGAATAAGGCCGAACAAGGATTTTATTGGCCTGGCATTTCACATTCCTGCTCGGACCCATCATCAGAGACAATAGTCAAATCACCCAAGAATCCAGACGGATGACGAAATCCGGCAGTCAGCCACTCGGCAGCGTGCGATAGGCGTGGGGGCCGATAATCTTGACGCGTAGTAACGGCATGGCAACTGCATACTTCAACACCTGGCCAGTCCAACTGTGATGCGCTCG